GAATTGATGCTTTTGAGTTATGGTGTTGGAGGAGAATATTGAAAGTGCCATGGGCTGCCAAAAGAACCAATAGATCCATTTTGGAAGAGGTGCAGCCAGAGTGATCCTTAGAGGCCAAGATGGCCAACCTTCGTCTCTCATACTTCGGACATGTTGTCAGGAGGGACCAGTGACAGGAGAAGGATATCATGTTTGGTAAGGTGGAGGGTCAGAATAAAAGAGGAAGACCCCCAATGAGATGGACTAGCCAAGTGGCAACATCAATGGACTCAAGCATGGCAACAGTAGTGAGGTTGGCCCAGGATCGGGTGGTGTGTAGCTATCCAACCTAATATTAAGCTGCAACTGGGTATTCTGAAGTAGTCACTATTTCACTTTCATCTATATTCAGTGAGTCATGGAACTTAAAGATCCTAGAAGAACCTGAACCAAAAACCCAGCTGAGTAACATGGGAGCCTACTGAACTCCAGGCCACAGAAACCAACACAAAAAAAAGTTTGTGAGGAAAAGTTTAAGGCTAAGGGCCAATCATCTTTCCTTGTACTTTATTCAGATATACACTTACACCCATTTAAGTTATTAACACTTCATATTTATCTTATTTTTCTATTTGAAATGTTGCTTTTCATGATATGACTAATAAAAAATCTTTACAAAATGCATTAAAACTAGATAAAAATTTAAAATCAAATGAAGCTACAAGTATAAACCTGATTAAAATTTAGCTTCTACCATTAGTGGTTACGAGTTGGCCTGCAAACTGCAAGGTCAGCCGTTCAAAACTACCAGCTGCTCCACGGGAGAAAGATGAGGCTTCCTGCTTCCGTAAAGATTTACAGCCTCGGAAACCCTGGACAGGGTTGTTATGAGTCGGAACTGACTCCATGGCACTTAACAACAACAATATTCATCTGTCAGTTTGTCATGCTGTGGTGGCTTTTGTGTTTCTTTGATGATGAAAGCTGTGCCATTGGTATTTTAAATACCAGCAGGGTCACCCATGGTGGACAGGTTGCAGTTGAGCTTTCAGAATAAGACACAATAGGAAAAAGGAGAGGGTGACCACTTCTGAATGATTAGCCACTGAAAACCGTATGAATGACAATGGAACACTATCAGATATAGTGCCAGAAAATGAGCCCTTCAGATCAGAAGACATTCAAAATATGACTGGGGAAGAGATGCCTCCTCAAAGTAGAGTTGAACTTAATGACTTGGATGGAGCAAAGCTTTTGGGACCTTCACTTGCTGATAGGACATAATTTAAATTGATAAGAAACAGCTACAAACATCTATTAATAATCAGCACATGGAATATATGAAGTATTTGTTGTTGTTATGTGCTGTGGAGTCGGTTCTGACTCATAGCGAACCTGTACAGGGTTTCCAAGGTTGTAAATCTTTATGGGAGCAGAAAACCTCATCTTTCTCCCGTGGAACAGCTAGTAGTTTTAAATGGCTGACCGTGAGATTAGCAGCCTGATTCATAACCACTATGATACATGAATTTAGGAAAATTTTAAGTTATAAAAAATGAAATGGAAAGCATAAAAATCGATATCCTAGGCATTGATGAGCTTAAATGGATAGGCATTGGCCATTTTGAATCCAATAATCATAGTTTATTATACTGGGAGCAACAAATTAAAGATAAATGGTGTTTCATTCATAGTTAAAAGAACATTTCAAGATCTGTCTGAAAGTACAATACTATCTGTGATAGAATAACACCCATATGCCTACAAAGAAGTCCAGTTTTTCAAATGTATGCACCAACTAGTAAATCCAATGATGATGATACTGAAGAATTATATCCAAAATTCACATAGGATTCACAAGAGGACATGAAACTAGGGATATCATGGCTGACATCAGATGGAACTTGGTTAAAAGCAGAGTCTACGAGAAAAATGTACATTGTTGTTAAATGCTGTTGAGTTGGTTCTGACTCATAGTGACCCTGCATAGGATTTCTGAGGAACAGCTGGTGAGTTTGAACCCTCTTGCAATTCAAACCACACAGTCCAGTGTTTATTCTACAGTGCCACACCAGAATAAGATGTATATACTTGTATTTTATTGTCTATGCAAAGACCTTCTACTGGATTAAAGAAAACCATGGGTGACATTTCAAGTAATGGGTATTCCATTATTCAATTGTGCTCATGAGGAACCAATACACAGACTAAGAGGTAGTCATTAAAGCAGAACTAGGGGATACTGAATGGTTTAAAATCAGAAAAGGTATGCGCGCTAGCATTGTATCCTTTCACCATACGTATTTAATCTGTATAATGAGCAAATATTCCAAGAATCTGGATTATATGAAGAAAAACATGGCATCAGGATTGGAGGGAGATTATTAACAACCTATTTATAGTTAGATGATACAGTCTTGCTTGCTGCGAGCCAAGAAGACTTGAAATAATTACTGATAAAGCTCAAAGACTATAACCTTCAGTATGGATTGTACCTCAATGTAAAGAAAATGAAAATCTTCACAATTGTATCCCCAAATAACATCATGATAAATGGAGAAAATAATGAAGTTGTCAAAGACTTCATTTGCTTAGCTCCACAGTCAGTGCTCATGGAAACAGCAGTCAAGAAATCAAAGGATTCATTACATTAAACAAATCTGCTTCCAAAGACCTCTTTAAAGTGTTCAAGAGCAAAAATGTCAGTTTGAGAACTAAAATGCACCTGACTAAAGTCATGGTATTTTCAAGTGTCTCATATACATGTGAAAGTTGGACAATGAATAAGAAAGACCATAGAAGAGTCAGTTGCTCATATGCAAGTTCAGGTTAAAGCTAAAGAAAATTGAAACAAGTCTACAAGAACCAAAATACAACTTTGAATATAACCCACCAGAATTTAGAGAACAGATTTGATGCATT